AAAATCTGAATGCCGTAACCAGCACTTTTAGAAGCGGAATCGACGTCATCAGGAGGTCACAAGGACGACTTCTGAATCGGAGAAAGAATTGAGCAAGAAGCCGGTTAAGATTCGAGCCAAGTGCTTTGACGTCACCATGGTTGTGCGAAAGCACACGGAATGTCCATGGTGTCCTGTTCCATCAGATCTGACACTCAATGAACAAAAGGTTAGTATATAGGTCTATCAGTCTTTTTATCAAGTCTCTATTTATCGTAAAATGTTTTTCGTGCTCTTCTTACATGAGAACAAGTTGGTTCATAGAAATCGAAACCGAAAAATTTACGGATATAACGTCATTTAAGTTCATCTGATTTGCTCCGTCTGTACCCATTAGCTGCTTGTCTATGGAGTAATTGCCCTGCATCATAGCCTTAGAAGCTCACAGCCCTTTCCAAAAAGTTCTATCACGTGTGGTTTCATTTTTGTAACATCATGAATGTTACAAAATCTCACAGCTCGCAGCTGCTGAGGTGACATTGATCTCCAATGGTTTTACACGAATAACTTATCAGCAGTTTTCCCCTGGGTGCGAGTAATCGTGAGTTTCTGCTTTGAGAGCTCTCACCTCCTTGTCGCCACAATATGGCTCACCGAAAATCAAATTTTACAGCTACCCGAAGATGTGTGCCTAGAACCTCGGTATTTCTGCAATTGATGGGTAAAGACAACATTCTGCCTTTGTCAATAATGATTCGGGTTGGGTTGGCTGTTATATCACTAGGCATCACTTGTGCGCTGATCGCTTTCCTTCAAGAGTCCAAGAAAGTCCAAGAAGGTCTACTCGGTATCTAATATTGTCAGTTGCCAGTTGTTGAAAGTATCACTGTGACCCTTATTTAGGACTAATCGCCATTGCATAGATGCCAAATAAGTATGTAGCTTTTGAATTGTCTGAATTGCAAAACTTCGTGAATGTGAAAATTGCGTATGCATCTGCGGCTAACATGCCTTTCTTCTAGGTACAATTTTTGGGAACAGACGCGTCAGCTCACCTACTGGCTGTCTTTTTCATCGGAATCCGAGATCACAACAACGTCACTGCTTGCTTCTGCCTCTCTATGAACACGCGTTCGTCGATGGTCGTAGCTTCCGATCCAAGTGTGCTATACCGCAGAAGACTTCCACCACCAAGTCTCTCCAAACTCTTCGGCTGGCTTGGAGCAAGATCCTGCTTTGAAGAAGGTTTAGTGGTCCGCTTTAATTTATCGGGCAGGGTCTGACTTGAGTACGTCGTTCACTTCCTTACTTTTCACGAATCTTGATAATCAACCATGAATCCAGGCTCGGATGCATTACAAGCGGTGGTAAAGAAGTACCATGACAAAGTTGTTTATGGACAAAAACCAGCTCAGATTGCTCGAAGGCAACAATGTTAGAAAATGCCACGCGTGTGAACGTTGGTAGCGATGAACGCAGAAGCACAGATTGTTGAAGAGGACATTCGATGACATTATGTAAATATTTTTAGTATTTTACCTTTGCGATTATTTCCGTAAAACTGCTTTAAGTTTCAATACGTCTCATTGTTAGGAGACATGGCGTCAATGATCTCTTCAGCTCCTTGGGAATTGAGGCTGGATGATTTGAGCAAAGCTAAGCTATGTGTCCAGCAGCACATAAACTTGATAGTGAGTTTATTTTTTACAATGTGGTACAACCCTCACATTCAGACTCTTTCTAAGATCTAAAAATTGCAATAAATGCAATTCTCTTGGTCCTATAAAGCTCGTGTCATGTTTCATAGCTTGAGTCGCAATTTGTTTAACTTCAATAAAAAAAGAACTCTTTTTGTTCCTTCTTAAAGGCAGTGTCCGGGCAGAAACTCGACTTTTAAAAAATCAACTTATCTGGGGTTATCCGCAACGCTGAATCCGAAAATCCACATCAGAAGGCGCGAAAACGGCGAGAACATGCATTTTCCAAGTCCTCACATTTCGAAATTTGGGGATCCCCGCCAGGCTAAGACGCAGAGGTTGCAAAGAGCGCACGGTTTTTAACTGTGGCGGCATACGTACTCTGCCGTCTGGCAGGAATTCAAACAACTCGGAGGACTCCGCCCCAAGGCGTAGGTTTCCCCAATTTGCAGTCGTTTTTCTTGCTTTAGGTCGAACGTTTTATGCTCGCAGTTGCGCGATGTTGTGTCAGGGGGGCTACTTTCACATGGCAGAGAAATCTCAGAACCCCCATTTTGCCCGGACACTGCCTTTAAGTACTGAATTAGAACCCAACTAGTTCTCAAGATGGTAGACTATTCATGAAAGATGGGGACCCACTGCACACCGCCTCATTCCACATCAAGAATTGCTAAACGGAGTGCAACCGTCCTCTTATTTCTGACGTTGAAGAACATGGGACCTCGATTTTCACTGTCGCACATAAGATGAATAAATTTCCATAATTGGTGCTATGGATATTGTGATTGTCTTTGTCCTAGAACCAAAGGGATCTTTATGTGACCCTTTGTACTATCGCAGTTAATTCCCTACTTTGTTCTCAAAGTATAACCTCAAACATTATGCACAACTTTTTATTTCAATTATTTATCTGATCAGCTTTAGTTAGAAGTTGAAAAGTGCTACATTCTGTAGCCTGTACCAAGCAAGCTAATTTCTGTATCAAGATAAACCATAATTTTACTTTACCATTGCCATACTTTACCATAACATACTTTACCATTTGAGTGGAAAATGTTATTCGTGTTCGAGAGTGCTCTCATTGATGCATGAGTCCATTTCTACATAAATAGCTGTGCAATACCTTTTTTTCCATTAAGGGTAATTATATGTACATTTATGAGGTTATGTAAGTAAATACAAGCAAGCAAGGATATTTTTGAACATTCATAGAATGAATATATATGCATGTATAATCTGTAGCTCCGTGGTATCGCATAACTGTAGTGATTTTCAATTTTGATCCTTCTTAATCAAGCCGGGATTTTGTGGGTACCTTTCAGAGAGCGATTTACGTTAGCAAAGAATATCCTTCATTCTCAAAACTATAGATGCTTTCTACCTTCAGAAGGTTTATATAACTTGACTAGAGATACTTTAATTTGACACTTGCAGTACTTGCTTCTTGCAACTAAGGAAAGTTCTCAGCTGTAAGAAATAGAGCTAATAATAGTGCAAAATTGATATTTTGTCAAGGTTTTGACGGTATATGGTCAACTGCTTTGTTCGGCAATCACTTGGCAACCTGTCCATTCCGATGTACCCCTAAGATTTTAAACCAAATTTTGCTTAGGATTTCGTGAGTTTCTCGTTTTTTCTATTTAGTTTCTCATAAAAGTTTGAGTTAGATCAAAATACTGTATTGTTCGAATGACTAAATTGTCACAAGAGCTGTCCTTCTTTGACCTAATGCTCTTTGCTTCATAACCTCTCCAAATTTCTGATTGTGAGACGAAAAATTGGCGAGCGTGGTACTTGCACTACATTTGGTCCGTATCACACAAATATTTTTCATGTATATTTCGAATAAGTGACTGCAAGTTAGACTGGTGTACTGACAAAATGGCAGCAGGCTAAAATGCCAGTAATTCTTTAAAGGGGTCTCAATAGTTACTGCTTTCGACTGCTGCCGTTTGAGTTTTTTTTGCAGAAGAATGTTCTGTCCTGTACGGAACTTGTTTGACGAGTGTTTCATCCATAAGACGCAAATGTTTGATTGAGAACTTTGACCAGCACTTTATACTTTAGAAAAATCTTAGCGAAGTAATCCCTAGATCCTGCTCAATTGCAAGACATCTACATATGTAGTAAAAGTCGCATTATCTCTCAGTATCTTTTTTGTATAAAAGTGTAGTTTTGAATATATCGCAGTCCCGTGACAGTCGGTTCTCATCGTTCAGATTTCGGGTGGGAAACTTTCACTAGAAATTTTACCGAGAGTAGACACAGGCGCCATACCAATTTCGTCTCTCAGAAGAATCTGCTCTGAGAAATTTCACAGCAATAGGTCGCTGAAGAACATTTGTATGGCCAGATTGACTCCATTAATTCGCGCAGGTACTCTGACGTAAGCCAAAAGAAAACAAAATTTAGAGCTTTACGAACAAAACGACCTAATACAGCTGGACTGCACTCAACAATTAGTCGAATTTTTTCGGAATTGAAAAGGATGCTCTTACAAGGAAAAGACGAGGCCTACTCGAATGCAAAACAGACCACTCACTCATTATGATGAGAAGAAGCCAGTTGGATATTACGAACACTGCTTAATTTGATTATGACGACGTAGACTCAAAACATAATTGTTGGAGGTGGAACCTCCTGAAAATGCAACTAGTGACAATTTTGTGAATATTTCAACCACTATCTTACCAAAAGCCTCAAACGTGGCGATTAACTTCAAATAGCTAGTAAGCTGGAAAATTGTGTCTGGTATCCCTTGAAAGACTTGTACAGCTTTAAACTGAGCTGTTGAACTCGTGGTCTATAAAGAGAGAGTGCCTCTTGGCTCCCGTTGGAAGTCTCCTTACAAGAGAGACCTCCGACGAGAAAAACAGACATTTTTGTAGACCAGATACAGTACCAGGATCCCGTAAAAGCAGCCAGTGGCAATCGAAAACACTTTGGATGTTGAAGCTGCCTGAACAAATAGAACCGGGGTTGCTATGGGGGGTTTTTTGTCATTACGTCATCATTCTTATTCAAGCGCACAGTGACTTAGGTTGTTGTAGTCTCAAATCGTGAGTTCGTTCTCACTAGTCTCTGTGCATGGTTTTTATTGTTGAATTTCAAATACGGCAATAAGGGAAGAAATCAAAAAATCGGATAGAGTAATATTTGGAATCAATTGGGAAATTCGTTTCTAGGAAACCCATTAAGAAATTGGATGTGCCAAATAGTTTCCTGGAAATAAATCTACATTTCCATAGTTTCTAGTGACTATGGAGCTACAGATTACTAACAAGCATTCATAAGCTTGCATTCGTGGATTTCGGACGAGCTTCTATGGCAATGATCTGGCTAGCTCCCTTCCTAGTTATTGTTCAGGTAGTTCCATTTTTGTTGAATAGCACAGTTTTCAAAGTTTACAGAGCTGCATCCTTTTAGGCGGGATTTATCTCATCGTGTGTTTTTGACAAAGTGGATGAGATCCCGAGTGCTGCGTTGATTACCATCGTTCCGGGAAACCTAAACGAGTGTTTTGCTAAGTGCTACGAGCACAAGGAATGCGTTGGAATTGAGCATTTGGAAGCAAGTAATCTCAACCGTAACTGATAACATGAATCGAAACTCCAAGTATTTACTGTAAACAGAGTAGCCAAAACACTTAATGGTAGAGTTTGAACCAAAGCGCTCACTTGCAATTCATACCCGGAGTCAAGTCATGCATATGCTTGTATCGACCACAAATCCCCGGACGCTGATAATTTGCGAACTACCAATCTAATGTTTAGCTATGTACGAAGCCTCCAAAGGGTTACTCTGAGTTTCGATTACCATTCCGACTCAAATCATCTTAAGTTAGGTTGCAAATCGTCTGAAAAGTTGCAAAAAACCTAAAATCATCAATACATAAGTGACCTACTCTTTGCAATCAAAAAAGTTTATGCTTTTAGAACGCTCCTGGAGCAGTAATGAATTTCGAGTCTACTACAGTAATTGGCAAGATCTGTCGCTTTTGAAAACCATGAATTTTTAGAGAAACTTCCGAACAGCACAAATTTCTTTTCAGTTGCAAGGATTAGGCCATAAGACTTATTAATAAGGGCTATAGAATTTAGTTCCAGATTTTTGGCGAGCTCACTTCAAAATGAACAAAACCTAAATGATCTTCTTTCTCCATACATCATACATTTCTACATCTGTATGTGTCTCTGCAAATGGTATATTGAAAGCTACATAGTTAAGATGAATGTTTAGAAAAGAATACTTCTTTTTTCGATAGAATTTAGAAAAATGCTAATCCATCGACATAGCTAAAAGTTAAAACAAAAATGAAACGACAAAACTTTTGGACAACCTAATATCTTTGAAGCATCTTAAAGTCAAATCTTCTTATTTGCATTGTATCTACGCAAAATCTTGCACTTCAGTTATTTTTGAGTGACGGAATATATTTCAAAAAAATTGAATCATTTGAAACGTTCAGAGCAGCACTAGCGTTTTATGTCACTGAGTTACAGAAAAGCAGTACGTGCTACTTGTTTCGCGCTGGAGACCGCGATGTGAGCTGTAAAGAGGTGGAAAGGAAGTGCTACATCCTTCAACGAGATGAGATGGATCCTGTGTGCAAAACATACGTGAACTTCTGAGAGTAGCCAGTTTCATGCATTTTAGAAGTGTACCATGTAGGGTATTAGTTGAAATAAAACTTCGCAAGTGTGTCATTTCCACAAAATCATGAGGTTCAGGATATCAGGAAGAAGTGCACACAAAATGATACCCTTATGAAGAGACACAAAAAATAGTCCTTTTGTAATCCATTTTTAACGGAACTATTGAAAATCACATACTTCCGTTCACTATAAAATGAGAATGACAATAAAGCGTATGGAGCCGCAAACTCGGCCACTTCGTACCTTTGTTGAATTCCTCATCTCACGGTTTGAAGATGGAACAAAGAAAGGAGTCTTTGATCCTCCAAGATGATATACATTTTGAACTTCTGAAAAATCACCATCTGAAAAAACTTCGACTATGTATCTCCACGTTTGTGAGCAGCATATCATATAAGGCTTTCAAACGCAGTGTCGGGAGCATCAGCATCTCCGCAACCGCTTTGCCTGGACTCTGCACCTCTTTCGCAAACTTGCTCTCTAGTTACCTCCCCACCGCGAGCATGGGGAAGGCCCTCAACGATTGGACATGATTAGAGAGCATGATCGTGGAAAAGGTGCAGAGTCCCGCGCGGGAGTGGAGATGCTGGTGCATCCGACACTGCAATTGATAAGCCCTGAAATTAGGTTAAAGTCGAAGAGTGGAAAAGAATGTGGCGAACTGAACCAAAAATCTGCTGCATTCATGCAAAATTAATGTATGTACGATGTTTTCATTCAAAGTATGTTGCGATATACAAGGCATGGATAGTAAGCTTTCCGCGATGGTCTTTGAGGTTCCACTTCAAGTCGATATCACAGTTTCACAGATTCAACTGCCGGCAGTTTCTCCTACAGCGGACGATTTAACTGAACTGTGCTTTATGACTGTTCATAAACTGTTCTTCCTAGTAGACGCTGAGTTGATTCTCACCAAAAACACCATCACAGTGAAAATGACGTCTAAACATCTACCCCACAGTCCCTATGCACTGCAGTGACGAAGTGGACTAACATAAGGAATTCGTCCTATCGGGCTGAGGATCAACCCTGCAAATTGCGTGAAACACGCGAAGATGCCGGATCATTTTGTCATCACTGTATCATAATGTTCCATTGGCGAGGTTTCACCTATCATGAAAACAAAAAAGCATACTATGCCGACAACTTACTGCAACACATACAGAGAAAAATCTTTGAAAAATATGGTTTAAGGCTGATATTTATATAGATGAGCCTTGATACAAATTTTTTCAACATTTTGAGTCAAAACTGCACTAATGTTTTCGTAGTTTTTTTCAGTTGTTGGCTCTCTTATCTATGCGACGCTTCCACAAGGGCAAAGTAGGTTCCTACTACTATCGGTCAGAACAAAATTCAGAACAAAAAGTTCGTCACCAACATTCGTCGTCAATTCGTCGCCAAGCTTTCCTGCAAGTTCTCCAGATTAAGAATATTTCGCGTGACAAATCCAAACTCAAATCAAGACCATCAGACTTGCATGAGATATAAGAAGACCACAGCTGTGCTTGTGCAATCCATGACATTCATTTTAAATGTTCTTGCTGTTATCTCCTGCAGCCAACTTTTCCCCTGAACTCCTTTTCTGAAGTTTTCTGCATGCAAATTTAGCTCTACAATGGTGAATGATTTGTGCGAGCAGTACGGACAACCACCATAATTCTTTCGACTCGAAAGAACTACCGCCTATCCTGTTATGCAAAGATTATGGTCAGATGCTACGGTAAGGCTGAACCAGGCTGGCGAATCGCACAAAAAACCTTATCGTATATTGTGAGTCTTGAAATCTTGTGCTATGAGCACAATTCAGGTGCCCTCGATATGAGTCAGCGGATATTCCTCTTGAAAATTTGTATCCACTTCCCTATACAATCTGTATGGCGCTATCATCAGTGTCGTCGCCTCTATCTCTTATTAAAAACTTGAACACACTTTGGATGCAGCAATTTTCAAGTGAGATTCTAGGTATTTTCCAGCGAGATATTTAACCTTTAGGTGTAAAATAGTTGTTGTAGCAGAAATTTCATTGCTGACGGTAAGTCACCGAGTTGTAGCGGGTTGACACCTCATAATTGCTCTTTTAATTGCATGGTTGCGCACATCTGTTTACAGTAACTAGCCATACTAAAGTGGCTAACTGCTCGTGAGTAAATTAAATCGCCAGTTTCCTGCTCGTGCGCAAATGACTCATAATTATCGGCTTTGCCTACATAACATTCCAATTTTCGTACTATCAGACTGATCCAGTAGTTCTGTAACCGGATCTCCAAACTCGTCATCTCTTTCAACTCTAAAGAATCCGATGATTGATGTATCTTCGCGAGAGAACGACGTGATTTTTCTACTTGTCTGGGGTTGATTTTTGTTTACCATTTCTTACGAAGAGTAAATTTAAATATTATAGATTGTGCAACTTCCCTTTTGGAAATAAAAAATAGATTGTGCAACTTCCCTTTTGGAAACAAAAAAGTCAAATAAGCGTTAGTTGCTGTTAAGTACTTGCTGTAACTAACAACAAGAAAAGTTACCTAAGCAAGTGTTTCTGAGTAACTGCAGTTTCCAGATATTTTGTAATTTCGTGAACCTAATTGTTGTGTGTTCTCTTCAACTTGTCAGTCCTCCATCTGGCTTCAGAGTTTTTCATTTTTTGCCCTTCTCTATATCCTCATTCGCCAGAATCGACAGGCAGCACTGTAATTGCTATAATTTTCATCTTTTTTATTAATTTTTTTAAAGAATAGGAGGACCATGCAATCCGTAAGTGGAATTCAGTTACAACTGCTTATTATCTTCGAGTTAATTTATCGAAACATTTCCTTGTCCAATCCTCCAAAGAGGTAGACATTAAACCGTTTCTCTTCTTAAGAGATTTGTATAATAAGGTAAATAGATTTTTGTGACATTTTTCGTTCAAAGCTGCTCAATAATTTGATTTGCATCGCCGCGAATAAGAATGCATTAAGCGCCACTAAGTAAAAATTCGTTCTTTTTTTTGCTGTTCATCCTGCTGAAGCGCCTCCATTTATTTCTTCTTTATTTTCATAAGAAAGACAACTAAAAAGTGTGAGATACAGATGTTACTTGCACTGAGAAGCCCGCAGAAAGCTTGATCTTGTCATACAAATGCTTTTTTCTTGCAAACGAGCTCATTCTTGCTTGATTAATTGTTTTTTTTGGCGATTTTATATTGAAACGTCTTCATTTTCTATCTTCTTACATGTCGCAAATCACCATCTTTCTTGCGTTTTCTCTTCCTACAACAAGGTGCTAATGTGCACTTACGTTACATTACATGCTTTCTCGACCTTGAGGTAGCTGGCGCCATAGGAACATCTAATTCCTCAAGTGTTCCACAAAGTTGGGGGTTTTTCTTGCCTTTCATTGCTAGAAATGTTGTTATCTCGTAGATATGGCGTTTTTACAGCTCCTTTCGAGCAAATCACCACGCTTTAAAGCTTCATAGTTTTCTCCTTCCTTCAATGTTTTGCAACGTAATGTAACCTTCGATTCAACTCGCTTGGCGGTTGGAAGGCGGGGCTTTGCGACCTAATTAAGGCCGCTCGCACCCGCGGTCTGCGTCTCCCCCGCGCGCATGCTTTTTGATCATTACCTAGCCTTGGTTAGGTCACGAAGCCCCGCCTTCAAGCCCCAAGCAGTTAAACCAAAGGTAGCAACAAAATAATCGAATAAGCCATCAAACATGGAACATGGACTGTTGCTCAAAGCAGAAGCCACATGTGTTTACCTTCTGGAAACTAAAACATTACGCTAAACTTCTGTATTCGTGCGATACTATACAAATGTCGGCTGGTCAACAAACTAGCCTCAAATTGCCGGATGAGGCAGTGCTTGAAGATCTGCTTAGCCGTTTGTTTGTCATTCGTCCAACTCGGCGAAGTAGCCACTCTTCACCCTCGTGATAATACGCGAAAATTTCATTTGATGCTTTTAAAATAAAATTTTTCCGATATGCCGAATAATCAGTGTTTTTCGCGTACTACTGTACTTCTCTCAAATCAATGAACTCTAAACTAACCCAGCAGCCACTATAAGTTCGCTCATTTCATAAAATAATTTTCTATTTTTTCTAACAAGCGGGTACCAGAAGCTGAGCCATAGCTTATAGCTCAAGCTCAATTCAAAGCTTTCAAAATTATCACAAATAGATTTGGTTGACGGTAAATGAGAATTTTGACTAAACAATACTTTTTCGTTTTCTTTTCTGTGTTACCCTTCAAAGCTCTCCAGTTCCCTTGCTATAAAACGCTATGAAACCAAATACGGACGGAAAGAGTTGGCTAGCAAGGATAGAATGCCAGACCTGATAATTTGTTCTAACAATCCCTTTATTCGTACAACCATTATATCCCAACTACGGTAAGAGAAGCGTGAGAGAAAACAGTTTTAAAGTTTGTTTACCTATTCTGGTCAAGTGGCCCCAAAAATCCATGTTTGTTGAAGCCTCGAGTATTTCTCTGGTATCCAGTAGACCGCCCATTGTGATAGCTCTAATCCCCATTACTTATCGCCCTCAAAATATAAATGAAATTCTTCCCTTTCACAGCATTATAGCATTTGTTCAAGGTTGCGAAGAAGCTACAAAAATAATTACTAGCTAACCTTTTGCCTGCGTTTGTCAGATTGCAGAAAAAAGCATGAGCTTTTCTCGCGGAGCATCTACAATATTCCTGTTTAAATCATTTTTTAAGTCAATTGCATCTCTGAACTTATTTATTTGAGATCAGGACGATGTTTCGAGTTTTTTTTGGGAAATCAAAATCTTTCCCTACTCTCTAAGCGCTCTCAGTTCCCAAATCACCCAAGCTTTTTCCTCTGATTAAATTTCCAACAGTTCAAGAGACCTTGACTAAAGCGTCTATCAAATGTGGGTTTATTTGACACACCCCTCAATCTTGTTCACCTCTCACCCCGATAGCAATTATGGGCCATATTTGCGAATTTGTTAGGCGCCAATCCGGTCCTTACTCATCATTCGTCCTTCAAAGACCTCCAACTTTGAGGTAGCAATCTATAAAGTGTTTTAGAACTCTCCTTCGTTTGCGGCCAAGGCCTCAAGTTTACATGAGTTCACATTTCGAAAAAATCACCTCGTTTCTCGTTTTTGGCATGTGTAATACAGCTTGTTTGTTAGTTTTGAACCATTCACTAGGCGAAAATGAAATATTTGAACTACATGTATTTCTTTTTGGTATGCAGGTAAGTGGAGAGGCGCAGCTATGACCAGATCGGATCTAGGTGCGATCCCCGCCCCTGAACCAAGCCCTCTACACTCTGGGGCCGTAAATTGGTGCCAGAGTAATCTGGGAGTATATAAGCACTGACTTGGTGATCTTTTCTCATAATCATTCCCAATATATTCGGCAATTACTGAACATGGACCATCTCCCAATGGCATCATTTTGAAGGCGTGACTTGCTTTTCTCTTCCGTTTCAACAGTCGCGTGCGTTATTTATCGTTTTGTTCACTGATGTTGTTGACTGCGCTTACTTAGGTTAGCTGTCAATATTCTTCTAGCTGAAAAAACTCCAAAGTCACCTGATTCCACACTCATAGCATGTGCTTGCCGTACTTTAGACGCATTCTATGTGATTCAAAATTCGATCTCAGGTAGTGCTGGGATCACGATAGCGATGTCACCATTGATATTTTTAGCACTAATTGGATGAGCATTTTTGTGGTGGTTGACTTTTTGTTGGAAGAGGAGGGGGGAGATGCTGTCGTCATAAAGTTTTTATTTCGGTTTTGCATAATGCTTCCTAAAAAAGGGAAATGATATCGGCATCTAGAAATTTTCTAAACACTGAGCTACTAAAGGATTAGCCTAGAGAATCTAGCATATTCAGTTGTCATATTAACGCAGTCATAAGCATATTCAGTTGTCATATTAACGCAGTCATAAGCATATTCAGTTGTCATATTAACGCAGTCATACCTCAAAGTCATCAATAACTCTTGAGCCCTCTTCCGATGTAAAGGTTTTATCGTCGAGCTTATCTTCGTTTTCTTGCATTTATATTTACGTGGGCGGGGATGGATAGAAAGGCGAACGACCCTCTCAGACAATTTTTCGCCTTTTGAGTGCAAGCATGATGTCATATTGCTTATCTATACGAGACTAGTGAGCTAGTTACAAAATTTCATGCATTACAGATGTTGCTATTTTTGGCTCTGTTACCTGTTATTTTGACGGAATCATTTTGGATGACTGCTGAGCTGCTGCGACTGGATTGGGGGGAGGGGTGTTCAACCACATGGTTGCTCTCGCCCGAGGTTCAAGGTAGTCAATACTATTATGGAATGTCGATTGATTTCCTAATTTTTTCCTCTAGAGCAAAAACTTTTAAATACTCAAAGATATGCTTCCACTCAAAGAGAAGATCTCTATCAGCTGGCCAGTTTCTGAGAATTTTGTGCAGGTGAGTACTTTTCTCTTCCTCACAGACACCTCTAGATCATTCTGTCTTTTTGATCACTCGCCAAAGTTCCTGTCAATTAGCGTGCATAATGGCGTAGTCTAATTGAGAATAACGATGTTCTGCACCGCATTCACAGCATTGTCCTACAGCATTTGAATATTGTCTAGTACCCTTTATGCCGACTTTATTATCAATGTATTACGGTAACACCTGTGAGGACATTTTGCGGCCAAAACCTTGAAGATACTGTAGCGAGCAAAACTGCGTTACTACCAAATGTGGTCTTGTGGAATCTCACTTACCAGAGCAAGAATTTGTTATTCAAAAAGTTATGAGCGACTTTTTGCGACACAGGTCTGCTTTTCGACTTGAGCGCATTTGTAATAATTCTGTAAATTTACTAAATCCTAGGTGAGTTTCCACAAGACCACATTTGGCTCAAATCTGTGTCTTCTTTAAAAATGTACAATCCTATCTACCATAATTTTATATGAATTTGACATTCCACGACGCTTCACGACCATTTGTTTCCCACTGGACAAAGAGCATCCCAGATTTAATACTCTCTTGCCAAGTTGTCGGAACTAATCCAACCTACGGCTTTCCACAAATTTGCGATCAAACTGCCTCGATCGTGTATTTTGAGATAAACTATCTCAACACATAGCCGTTAGACACTCTCATTCACGTTGTAGTGGACTGACAACTGGCTCTGCGTAAAAGAGTAATATGAGTATTATGAATCTTGTGAGTAATTTTTTGATGCCGTAACCAGCTGTTGTAGGCTTATGATCGACGTCATCAGTTCACGACCATGACTTCTGCAGTGATAGAGAAGTCGAGCAAAAAGCTGGTCGAGATACGGGCTAAGTGCTTTAAAGTCACTATGGCTGTGCAGAAGCACATTGAGAAATGTCTATGGTGCCCTGATCCATCAAATTTGACACTCGTTGAAACAAAAGATTAGTATGTAGGTCTATCAGTCCTCCTATCAGGTCTATAAATCGTAAAATGCTTTTCATGTTCTTCTCACATGAGAATAAGTTGATTTATAAAAATTAGAACCATCGATTTTATAAGATGCGCTTCCTATGACTGTCAAAGATAAAAACCTGACGGAAAAAATGCTGCTTAAAGGTGTACACCTTATGGCTTATCCGTGGAGGAATTGTCTCGACTTTCTCAAAACCCTTGTAGATTTCCTTTCCAACAAATTGACTCTGGAGAATCTTATCATATGTCGAGTATTTAATTTTCGTAGACTTACATCACGTAGGTTACAAAACCTCACAGCTGAGAGGACATTGACCTCTCATAGAATTACTCGAATGACTAAACAACTTTGCTAGTTCTTCCTGGGTGCGAGTAATTGGTGGTCTCCTGCTTTGAGAGCTCTCGCTTACTGTAACACCACAATGAGGCCCACAAAAAAGTGAATTTTACAGCCACCCGACGATGTCTCGTCACCGCTTGGAACTTCTGTACTCCTGCGATTGTTGAATAAAGACAACCTCATGCCTTTGTCAATGATGATCCTGACAGGGATTGCTGTTATATCATCAAGAGGCATCGCTTGCATCCTGATCGCTTTTCTTCGTCTAAAAAGGCGGGTTTAATAGAACCAAGGGTATTGCCAATAGCTAGCTGTAAAAGCATCACCATAACATTGTTTAGGAGCAATCGCCACATTTCTACAAAGGCGAGCTCTCAGCCACGTCCCCGGTCAAATCTGATGAAGACATTGAACAGGTAAGCGGCGTGTTTGAAAGTGGACCAGTGTGCAAAAATTCATGGCTAGACATCATGCACATCTGTTCAAAATGTCATTATTATTTGGCCTCTGACATGCCCTTCTTTCCAGACAAGGTGCACCTTGGGGACAAACTCGTCCGTTCACTTACTGGCTGTCTTCTTCATCGCCATCTGAAACCACAACGACGTCACCGCTCGCTTCTGCTTCATCTATGGGCACGCCTTCGCCGACCATCGTTCCGAGCTTTCATCCAAATGTACGATACCACAGAACTCTACCACCAAATTTCCCCAAACTCCTCGACAGAAACGGAGCAGGATTCTGCCTGAAAGTAGTCTAGTTTTTTGCAGGAGTTTATGTACCACGGCCTGACATAGGTACGTCGTTCACTGTCTTATTTTTTAAACGAGGCTTGATAACTAGCATGAATTCAGGCTCGGATGCATCACTAGCATTGCTAAAGAAGTACCATGATAGATTTTTATTATGGGCAAAGATTAGCTCAGATTACAAGGTAGCATACAGATGTTGCTGTGTGCTTGAATTCTGGCAAGACAACACAGAAACAAATACTTACTGGATAGGAAGCCAATTCGATGACAACATACAGGTAATGTTTGGTATCTTACTATTAGGTTGGCACATAAGTTTTGCAACTTTTCCCGTAACTTTTTTCCTATCTTATGTAGCAATCTCATTGTGTGACATCATGTAGATCGTGATGTAAGCTGCAAGTCTGCGCAAACCGTTTGATTTTTGATAAAGTAGTACAAAAAATCTAAGCATTTTTTGAAAACTGCTGAAAATCGAGGTTTCACGATTTTTTGGCAAACATGAAGCCCTACGAAACCTGATTCAAACATATGAAAAAGCAATTATAGGCAGCATGTAGCTGGAAGTTGGCACATTGGAATCAGTGAAAAGGAAATGAAATTTAAACACAAATTAAGGTGGGGCGCCTTTCAGAAGTTGAACAAGTCAAATGCGTCAAGTTTTGAAGGCAATTTGTCAATAACTAAGCTGCGAAAAGTCAGAATTCGCTATGACTTTGCACTATAGAGTAATCCTGTGCGGTAAACACGAATATCATATTCATTTGTCGCTAAAATGAAATTCATCTTTTGATCTCACGAACGAGGCCTTTTCATGCGAAACGGATCTCATTTTTGTGATCAGCATGTCAAATAAGCCCTATTGGCCAAGTTTTAGGAAAATCTGATGCATTCTAAAAATTTTCCCATAGTACCGTAAACCTACCGTAATCCTCACATAAGATGGTAAAGTTCGGCAAAAATGTGTGCATTAGAAGCTTACATCATATTCCTTATATTGCCAAAAAATGAATGCGCTAGGTTCAAATAGACAAAAGGTATATAAAAAGTTGCATTACTTATGTGCCAACCTAATACTTAGTGATTATTTTCGCAAATGCCTTAAGCTCCACAATTTACGTCTTAAGAGACATAGGGTCAAACTCCCATTAGGCTCTTTGAGTCTTAAGGCTGGATTAGCGAGCTAAGCCATGTGTCCAGCAGCACATAAACTTCATAGTGAGTTTAATTTTTACAAATGGTACAGCCCTTACATTCGGATTCTTTCTAAGATCTTAAATTTGCAATTAGTGCAATTCTCTTGGCCCTATAGAGCTCGTGCCAAGTTCCATAGCTTGAGTCGCAATTTGTTTATTCAATGAAAAAAAGAACTCTTTTTGTTCCTTTTTAGGTACTGGTTTAGAACCCAACTAATTCTCAAGATGGTAGGCTATTCATGAAAGGTGGGGACCCACTGCACACCGCCTCATTCCACATCAAGAACTGCTGAATGGAGTGCATCTATCCTCTTATTTCTGACGTCGAAGAACATGGGACCTCGATTTTCATTCTTGCACATGATATGAACTAAATTTCCACAATTGGTGCAGTGGATATTGTGATTGTTTTGTCTTAGAACCAAAGGGAACTTTATGTGACACTTTGTATTATCGCACTTAATTCCCTACTTTGTTCCCAAAGTATGACCCTAAATATTATGCAAAACTTGTTATTTCAATTATTTATCTGATCGGCTTTAGATAGAAGTTGAAAACTGCTACGTTCTGTAGCTTGAACAAAGCAAGCAATTTCTCTGGCAAGATATACCATAATTTTATTTACTTTATCGGACTGTACCATTTGAGTGGAAAATGTTATTCGTGTTCAGAAATGCTCTCATTGATGCATGAGTCCATTTTCACATAAATAGCAGTGCAATACTTTTTTTTCCATTGAGGATAATTGTACATAACCTTTGATTCAACCGACTTGGCTTTGGGAAGGCGGGGCTTTGTGACCTAACTAATGCCGCGCGCCCGCGACGCACCTGCGTCTCTCTCGCACGGAAGCTCTCTGATCATTACCTAGCCTTGATTAGGTCAGGAAGCCCCCCCCTCCCCCCTTCCCGAAGCCAAGCCAGTTGAATCGAATGGTACATACATGAAGTTATTACGTCAATAAAAGCAAGCAAGGGCATTTCTGAATAATCAAAGAGTCATATGTGCATGTATAACCTGTAGCTCAAACTATCCGTGGCTTTGCATAACCGCAGTGATTTTCGATTTTGATCGCTTTCTTATTAAGCGGGGATTTCGTGAATACCTTTCAAGGAGCTGTTTTTGTATTGCAAAGAATATCCTCTATTCTAAAAAATTATAAATGCTTCCCATCTTCAAAATGCATGTATGACTTGACTAAAGATTCTCGAATTCGGCACATACAGTTCTTGCTTCTTGCAAGTCAACGAAGTTTCTCAAGGATAAGAAATAGGGCCAATAAAAAAATTAGCTCGAAAAATTTAGCTCTTTTTTTCTGTTTAGTTTCTCATGAAAGGTTGACTGACAAGGGAATGGTCAGAAGTCGAAGTGGCCAATCCATACGAGCCGCATACCATTCGATGCAGCATAGAATGCTGATTTCAAATCTGTCTTCCATATCTGCAGAGCGCAGGCAAAGTTATTAACAGTTTTACTGTGAAAAAATCGTATACAAAATTGCGAAATCAGGCACATTATTGCTCTTTCAGCTCACCTCTAGGTACGGGTCATATGAAGCGACTTAGTTGCATGTTTTTGTCCAACACTGAGCCGAGAATGGCTTTGTATGGCCAAGTTTGCACTTCACACGCACAATTTCTTAGGAAAATAATGGCCTTCAGAGGCTTATAACTTCGTCCACAAAAGCGCTCTGCAGATAAGGAAGAAAGATTTAGAGTCAGCGTTTTATGCTGCATCTGATGGTATGCAGCTTGTATAGATTGGTTACTTCGACTTCTGAGCATTCCCTTGTGAGATGAAATTACTGTACCATTCGAATAAATATATAGATCTCAGTCACAAGAGCTGTCCTTCATTTTTGAAGCAGAACTGATGCTCTTTGTTTTATGAATTCTCAAATTAGCTTTCTGAGGCGCAAAATTGGCGAGCGCGGCACTTGAACTTTCCTTATTCGGTCCGTATTCCGTATCCCACAAATGTTTTTCGTAAATTTTCGGAATAAGTGACTGCAAGTAAAGCTGGTGTACTGGCAAATTTTGAGGGCAACATACTAATAACTGTTCAAATGGGGTCCCGATATTTGTTGCTTCAGACTGCTGCCGTTTGAGTTTTCTTTTGCAATAGAATTTTCTATTTTGTGCGAAGTCGCTCAACGAATGGTTTCATCTAAACGGTGCAAATGCTTGGTTAAAGACTTTCACCAACATTTTACCTTCAGAAAAATCTTAGCTCAATCCTCTAAATGCTTCTCAAATGCAAGACTTCTACATATGTGGTAAAAGTGCCCGTTATCCCTCAGTATCTTTATTGATAAGTAGCGTAGTTTTAAATACACCGCTGTCCCGTGAACTGTCGCTTCTCACCATTCAAAATGATTCCGGGTAGAAATCGTAAAAATCCACTAGAAATTTTACCGAGAGTAGACACAGGCGCCATATCAATTTCGCCTTTCAAGAGAATCTGCTCTGAGAAATTTTACGCTAACATGTCGCTGAAGAACATTTGTATGACAAGATTGACTCCTCTTATGGGCACAGTTACTTTGACGTAAATCAACCAAAAATAAAAGAAAATTTCGAATTCTACGAACAAAAATCTAATACAACTGGAGCGCTGAAAAGTTAGTCGATTTCCATCGAATTTGGAATGATACTCCTACAAGGAAAAGACGAGGCCTACTCGGAAGCAAACCCGTCACTCATCGTAATGAACAGAAGTCAAGTGGACATTAAGAACACTGCTTGATCTGATTATCATGATATAGATTTAAAACATAATTGTTGGGGATGAAACCCTCTCATGCGACTAACGGCAATATTGCGAATATTTTGACCAGTTTTTTATCAAAAGCCGTAAGCTTGGCAAGTGGTAACTTCACATAGCTAGTAAGCTAAAAAAAACTTTGTATGGTCATTTTCGAAAGATTTGCGTAGAACGGCCTCTTGAAGTTGTGATTTTAGGAAAAGCGTACCTCTTGACCCTCTACCTACAATAGAGACTTCCAACGAGAAAAAGAGATATTTTCGTACACCAGATACAGTATCAGGATCTCGTAAATGAGGCCGCTGGTAGTCGAAACAATTCGGATGTTGAAGGCTACCTAAACAGATAGAATTGGGGTTGATATGAGGGTTTTTTGTAATTACGTCATCATTCGTATTCCAGTGCACAGTAATTTAATTGCTGTAGTTTCGAATTTATTTTTTAGGTTCATTCTCAATGGTCCCTGTGCATAGCTTTTTTTGAATTTTAGGGGAAAAGATCAGAATATCGGGTTCGAGAAATTTGTATCTAGGAAACCCATTAAGAAATTGGTTGTGCCAAATAGTTTCCTGGAAACAAATCTACATTTCCATAGTTTCTAGTATCTATGGAGCTACAGATTACTAGACAAGCATTCGGAAGGTTTCATTCGTGGAGTACGGGCGAACTTCTATGGCAATGATCTGGCTAGCTCCCTTTCTAGTTATTGTTCAGGTAGTTCCGTTTTTGTCAAATAGCACGGTTTCCAGGGCTTAGAGAGCTTGAATTATTTTAGACAGGATTGATCTCATCGTGTGTTTTCGACAAGGTGGATGAGATCACTTATGTTGAAGTGGCGAATATCGTTTCTGGAAACCTGAATGAGTGTTTTGCTGAGTGTTTCGAACACAAGGAATGCTCTGCATTTGCGCATCTGGAAGCAAGTTATTTCAACTCTAAGTGA